CCCACCAAATATAATGATGAACACATACGGCATTTACTACGTGCCAGGCAATGTTAGGGTTTAGGTACTATTAACACTCCCTAAGAGTTCTACCAGGTAAGTCCTTATTAATGTACAAATGAAGAAACTGAGGCACAGAATGATTAAATAACTTGCTTGGGATCACACAGAAGCAAAGCAAGCTTGAGAGTCTGTGGTCTTAAGCAGTGTCACACTACCTCTCATATGAGAGAATGGACAGATCTCATCCATTTTACTCTACTACCAAGAACCTCATATGCACCCTGCTCTTGTCAACATCCTGCTCCAGAACCTTCAAGGGACACTTAATAGAATACTGTCCAATTAATACTTTAATTAGCATTTAAGGTCCTCCCAACTGTTACTCAAGTCTACTTTCCATTATTCTGACTCTGGTCACAAAGATTTTCCTTTTCCTACTTATTGTCAACAGAGCTACATAGTCTACTTCCATTCTGCCCCCAGTTTGCTCCTTCAGAAATACCCTCCCAATATAATTGCATTCTAGTTATTCTCCAGAGCCCATTAAAATCCTAGTCCCAAGAAGCCTTTGAAACTGTTCCATTTACTATGATATGGACCTGAAATTCCATTCAAAGCACTTACAGACTATCTTTACTAGGTCTATATACCCATTCCTTTGACCTACTCACACTATAACTTATTTCAAAGCAGGTTGAGTCCAGTGCAGTACCCAGCACAATAATGTTCAATAATTGCTGATGGTGACTCCCAACTCTGGTTTAAAAATACCTGTAGATATTACCAATCATCTCAAAAGATTTAACATTTGTTTTAAACAAAGTTCAACAAAGACAGCACAGTATTTTAAAAGGATGACAAGAATAAGTCAATGCCCTTTACGTTGGGCCTTAGCTTAAACAGACATCTAAGTTTAGAAGCCCATTTCTCTTGCAATTGATATGATGATGTCTAGACAGCTACTTGGAGCATAAGAAGTTACAGAAAGTTTCTATGAAGAGGGGACAAGAGCAAGGCTGGCAGACATTCTTGCACTGCTTTTCTTTATTCTATAAACTATAGGTGAGTTGATTTGATACTTTAGAACCCAGATCATTTTTAAAGTCTTCTGCATCAATTAGATTTCAAAATGACACACAGTAAAGAGAATGAAATAATAATCTTACACATTTGTTAACAATTATAATGTCGACATTATAAAAAATGTAAATTTGCTATTGTTTTCTTACAACATGATATGGAATAAAGTGTAGAAGAACAATTTCCATTTAAAAAGTCTTCTGGTATGGGAATGTAGCTCAGTGGTAAAGTGCTTCCCAGCATGTCACCCCCCCCCCCCATCTGTTTCAGATATTTATCAACATTTATAAAAATTTTGGGTATCTACCTACTAAACAGAAAAATAATTTCTCACACAAATTGGCAACAAAACCGCAAGTAAATTGGCACAAACAGAAGTCCCTTATTATTACATTAAGCTTGTAATATGTTCTAATTTGCAAGAATTAAAGTTTCTCAGGATGAGACTGAGGTCATTGATGTAAAACTTAAAAACATCTCACTATGGAATAAATTCCATATTCTGTTCCTTGCCAGAGATCAGAAAATATACAACTTCCTAACAAATAAGGTAGTTTTGAGTTTTCGTATTCTGAAACAGTGAAGTATTTAAACAGTACATAAAAGAATAAAGGCATAGTGTACTAGAGTTACAAATTCTTGAATTTGTATACAGACGATGGAGGGCAAACTAAAACAATTTAATATTATCCACTGTAACAGACTTACTTAAAAATACATTAAAATCCCTAGGCACAGTGGCCCACCCACATCTGTAATTCCATTGACGTGGAAGACTGAGGCAGGAGGATCACGAGTTCAAAACCAACTTCAGCAATTTAGCTAGGCCCTAAGCAACTAAGTGAGGCCCTGTCTCTAAATAAAATTAAAAATGGGCTGGGGATGTGGCTCAGTGGTTAAATGCTCCTGGGTTCAATCCTAGGTAACAAAACAAAAAAAAAAAAAAATCAAAATCAAAACAAGGCCATACTACAGCTCTTGTGACAAATTTTGATTTGAAAATTATCTTATTTTTTCTGATGGCCCTGATGTTAAAATAGAGCTCATTTCAATCATGACCAACATTAATAGCATTGTTCACATTACATAACTGTTTAAATCAATCACTTTATCACATCCAAGGATGTAAATCAAAAGGTTAAAAACTTTCATTAAAGGTTTCTCGGGTGTACGAGTTCTTTTGGAGCTGGGGATGTGGCTCAAGCGGTAGCGCGCTTGCCTGGCATGCGTGGGGCTCTGGGTTCGATCTTCAGCACCACATAAAAATAAAGATGTTTTGTCCACCGAAAACTAAAAAATAAATATTTTAAAAAAATTCTCTCTCTCACTCTCTGGAAAAAAAAAAAAAAAAAGATTTCTCATTTTACTCTGCATTACAACATTACAATACTAAATGGTCTGACCCCATGACCTGGGGCTGGTTCTCAGGAAGGCTCATTTATTTAGGTTCTGCCTGTGTCATTTAAATCATTCACTTAAATTCTCAAAATCTCTATTTGCATAAAAAGTGAACTAGATGATTTTTAAGGTCCCTTTAATAACACAAGTCTAAATCTTCAAAAAAATTTAGAAATGTGTTGTTTAAAATCTTTCATAAACATTTACACTTTATCTCTCTTGAAAAAGTAATAATATGAAGGTATGATTACCTGAAGAAAAACTGTATCCATCCCAATAATTTCCTTAAGGGCCTGCCACAACAAATGTGGTCCTATTGTAACACCCCTAGCTAGACAAGGGCTGTTAGGCACTGAACAAATCTGGGGTATAGGAAAGGGCAATGATATATCTGTGATTTGTTTAAAAAAAAAAAAAAAAGGAAATGAGGCCTGTTTACTTACTCACCCAACTTTTTAAACAATTTCATCCAAAAACTGATTACATTTTACTTGATTCATATTTCAATCAAATACTAATAGACTGGACTGAAAGTTATACCATTTATGTGACTAATCTCAATAAAAATTATTTTAAATGATGCATTGTTTTGAAATTGAGAAAATATCTGTCAGTGCTGTTTTTAATGTTCTATGACATCCTCTCTTGACTCAGTTCATACTTTCTCCCTTAACCCAAACTGACAGGGCTGTTATACTTTTGTCAAAAGATGAATCTTTTATTCTCCTTCAAATTTAATATCACTTCAAGTTGGGTCAGATCAATGAAAATTATGTCAAATAATGCATAATAGTCTCAAGAGAAAGATTTGAGGACATATGTGTGTATCTTCCACATAGTCACAGCTGCAAAGGAAGTGCATTACCTAACTCTACTTAAATTACCTAAGTGGCTTGGTCATCCCAGAATTAATCTAAACTCTAAATAATATTATATATAATGTTTAGAGTAATGAGTTCAGTAGGTATAAAACTTCTACTTCTAAAAAATGACCTGCTGTGGAAACAAAATTCCTAGTTTACCATCCTGGAACTCTGTTACTTAGTAGCTATATGACTTTATACCCAACATCATGTCTAATAGTAATTGGCTTTACAGGTGCATATACTTACCACATAAATTCCTAGAGGGCAAGGTCTGCTTTTCACACAATAGCTAACACTCTACATGTGTTTTCTCATTAACCATCACAACTGTTACCCATTTTAAAAGTGAAAAAAATGACATTTTGAGAAGTTAAACTCAAGATCATAACTAACATGTTGCCAATCTGGGACTTCCACTCAGATTTGCCTGACCCCTTATCTCATTCTCTGGAACTAAGCAAGTTACCTAGCAGTAAAGTGTATGAATCCCCTTCAGGAATGACTAATCTTTGGTCTTTGTGGTTGTCAGATTTTGTATTCCCAGAATCAAAGGACTTAATGACTTTTGGTTTACCTTCGTATTAGTCAGTGGGGTGCTTTAATTTTAATAATCCTAAATGAGTTCCTGAGTTTATCTTTAAAGTTCTCCAGTTATTGCAGCAGTTTCGTCTTACTTCATTTACCTTTATTGGGTTCCTACTGAACACAAATAGTGTACAAGGAAATACCAGGATCAAAAAAAAATATGCCCCTTTGGGTAGTGAAAGCTACCACAAAAATCAAAGTACGGATTTTTTAATTTATCATACATAGCATGAACTGTTTCCAACAAGGCTTAACTCAAATGATTTTCAAAATCCTCAGCCCATGGCATTTTAGTACCTACCTGTATGCTACAGCACTTAGCAGTCAGCCTTGTTAAATTCCAATTTACTCACAGATACCTCCACAATGCAATCGACAACGTTTTCCATCAGTTCGTCAGTATTCACTGATTATCTGTCCTATTAACAAACAAGGAGTCCTGTCCCCAGAAACTGGCAGCCACAGGCCTCTGACTTTTCTTTAAAGTTCCCCACCCCTGTATGAAGTCGCTACTCTAGCGGCCACTGCTCCACTGGAGTGTGAACTTGAAGGGATTCCAAAGAGACCAGACTGCACACGTTCAGAGCGGATAATCGCCGGGGCGCGGAATGGATAGTAAGCTTAGCAGCCCCGCCGCCCCGGGACCGGCGCGAGCTCCCGTCACACTCGCCGCCTCCCGAGAAGCTGCGACCCACGCGCTCACCGCCCGCCCTTCCGTGCCTGCGGCGTTCCGCAAGAGGCCGGGTTCAGAACCAGGCCTAGAGCGAAGTTCGCTCCCGCTCCCGGAAGGGAAAAGAGAGAGGAAATCTGAGGAGCCTCAGAACCGGTTCCAGCAACCAGGGAACAACCCAGTACCAACCCTCAACTGTGAGGCCTCACGTCTAACACGCACTAGGCGCAAGAGCCAGGGACGTGAGCCCCGCCCGCCCGCGACGTCCCAGCCAATCCGGGATCCGCTCCGGTAGCCTCACGCGCCGTGCACACACGCACGCAACGCGGGGACACGACCCTCCCCGCGACCGGTTGCCAGTTTCTGATTGGCTGGGATGGGCTGTGGGCTGGAGTTGGAGTAGCCGCGCGGACGGGGCGCGCGGACTGGGTACACAAGCGGGTCCGGTGGTGAAGGGTTTTGTCGCTTTCGGTAAGAGGGTCGTGAGGCGGGCATTATGAGTCGGCAAACCCGACGGCGGCCCCAGAAAAAGCGGGCAGCGCTGGGCTGGATCTAAAGGATCTTGGGAGGTTTGGGGCCAGTGGCTGAAGGGGAGCGATGGCCGGGGCAAGGGAGGAACGTGTAGCTGGCGGCCTCGGGTCTCGCGTATCGTGGGAAGGAAGGGTCGGTAGACAAGGCCGGGTCCTTTCGGCGAGCGGATGCGGAGGCAGAGAGGTTTGAAGCAAGAGAAGTGTGAGACCCTGGGGCCCTGGGGAGGGGATGCTACTGGGGCCGGTTGTGGGGAGGAGGAGCCTGAGCACGCCCTGAGCTCGGAACCGTGTTGGGATCCGGGGCTGAGGAGGGATAGTGAGCGTGAGCGCTCCGGCCTTGGAGCCCTGACAAGGTCACGGGAAGAGAGAGGACAAGAGGGTGAAAGGTTGAGGAAAGGGCGTGGAACCAGAGGATGTTCCAACCTAGATCTTCCCTGATCCCCAGTCCGGTGTTTCCTTCCATCCTTTGCGACCCTGTCCTACCCAGTGAAGGTGAGAAGGCCTAAGGCTGGTATAAACCATCTGTAGCAGCATTAAAATTTCTTTCTGACAAGTAAACCTGCCAGTTGGAGGTTACAAATGCGTAGCGTGAGTTCAAAACTGTGAGAAGCCAAAATGATTTAGCAGTATTATTCGTCTTTCGCTTTTATTCTTGGTTGGAAGGAGCTCTTTCCTTCTTCTGGGTAATACCCACCAAAGGAATCTATGCTTCAGAAAGTACCAAGGCACTTTTCAGTGTGACCGGTTTGGTGGCAAAGTTATGAAAATTGAAGTAGTTCAGCACAACACGAATTCGGAGTCCTGTATAGCAGATACTCTCATACTTTTTTGTGCACCAGAATCATTTAAGGGGGCCTCTTTAAATACAGATTCGTTGGGTCCTGTCCCAAATCATCTGAATCAGAATTTCCAGGCTGGGGCTTTGGCAGCCATTTTAAACAAGCTGACAGGTGATTGATGCAGAATCAAAGTTTGACACACTGTATTAGATCATAGTTACTCTGACCAGATCCTTTACATCACCCTATGCTAGGCAGCTCATTTTCCCTTTCACCTCTTCTAGTAGTAGTAAGCTTACAGAATAATTGGTGTTCTACAAACTGAATATCTTGTTATCATTTCCTCTTTTTGTCTCTGTTCAACTTTCTGGCAGATCTGGAGTAATCACTGTGGGTGAATGAGATACTAAAGAAAAATTAGTGAAAAAGACGATTGAAAATCAAAGAAATAAAAATTGTTGGATTAGTTAAAATCATTGAGGGAATAAGACTATTTAATGTAGACATGCCTTAAACAATTTTTTACAATTCAAAGAGAGTGTTGTGGGTTTTAATTAAAGAATGTACTTTTATTTTTTCAGATTAAATTTGTACCAGCATCAATAGAATGATGGTTTAGTAATCTCTTAACAATCCAAAAGAACCCTGGACTCTATCAGGAGAGCTGGATCTAATCCTACTATTCTGATTCTATTCTCCCTGAGATGTATTCCTGGTTTTGAGCAATTCATATAATCCTTCAGGACCCTTTTCCCACCTATAAAATAAGGGTATTGATAATCATCTGGTGCGTGTTGCTTTCAAATTATATGATTTGTGGTTATTGACTTTGAAACTTTAAGAATGACATTTTCAATTTTAGTAGCTATAAATCATGAATACTTGGGAAACTCTAGGTGGCATTAAGACAATTATCAAAAATTTATATTCAGAAAGTATTTTAGTTATATAGAATATATAGACTTCATTAGAATTATCATTTATAAAAATAATATAGAGTTATAATTTGAATTTAGAACAACAACTCTGTGATATGTGTTAGATTTTTAATATTCATCTTTACTGACTTTTATCTTGAAATGTGTACATGATGTGTTCCAGATCAGAGACAGATAATCATTATTTACCTTTAATTTATTTTTTATGTGGTGCTGAGGATCGAACCCAGTGTCTCACATGTGCCAAGCGAGTGCTCTACCACTGAGCCACAGCCACAGCTCCTAATCATTAGTGTTTTAAAGCAAATAATAACCACAAGGTTTTCCACACCCTGATTCCCCACCCCCACCCCCCTGTCCTGGGGATTGAACATAGAGGGGCTCTACAGCTGAGTTATATCCCCAGTCCTTTTATTTATTTATTTTTTGGTGGGGGGAGGGTCTCACTAAATGGTTGAGGTTGGCCTCAAACTTGAAATCCTTCTTCCTTCTCCAGAGTCACTGAGATTACAGGTGTGTACTACTGTGCCCAGCCCTACACCCTGATTCTTACTGCAAAGCTTCTCTCAGAAAGCTAAATCAAATATACTACTCATACAAATTTCAGAGTCTGTATCATAGATAAGGAATGGAAAATGACAGACTTCGTCTATTCTTCTTTGTATATACAGTAAAGAGAGAGTTATCTCCCCCCTTCCTGAAAGGAGAAAACCTTTTTGCTTAATGGATCTGTGGATGATTATAGTCATCCACATGTGAAATAATTAGAGGAAAACCCACCAACTTTCTAAATTTTAAAGTCAATAGTCAAGAGATATTTTAGATTGGGAATAATTAAGGCAAAGGAGGAAAACGTATCTGCCAAAGAAAATGTATTGTGGTCTGTAATGGTTTTGTCTCTTGAGGCTGCAAGAAACCAAGACCTTAGCTCATCATTTATTTTTTTCATAGATATATATGAATAATAAAATAAATTAATGAGGCTGTGGCTGGGGCTCAGTGGTAGAGCACTAGTCTCCTACACACGAGGCCCTGGGTTTGATTATTATAAAAATAAATAAAAGAAAAGTAAATAAAGATAAATATAAAAATAAATAAAATAAAGATAAAAAATTTAAAGAAAAAAGAAATTATCACTGAAGTATATACAGTTTGGTTTTTTCATACTGACTGATTAACTCTACAAATACATATAACTTATTTTTAATTGTTGAGAAACATAACTTTTAATCAACAAACATTTTGTGGTGTACTTATTCTGTGCAGGTCGTTGCAGTAAATCATGGAGATAGATACAGAAAGTATAGGATTGCATAACCAAAGTACATATTGTAGACTTAAAGGATCAAAGAGGACTTTCCAGAGGAAACTAGTAAGGATGTAAACCTGAAAAAATAGGGGTTAGCTAAGAAAGTTTCCGAAGGAGATGAAAAGTGGGGAGAGAGAAGAAAACTGTCATAGGAAAAGGAATCAGCTTTTGCAAAGGCCAGAAGTATAGAGAAAATCTAAGAGATTTAATGTCATTACAATGTGGCATTGAGAAAAAAAGGTGGAAAGACGATTTGTGATACACACAGTTATATATTTGAGAAGTTTATGAATAGGTATGAAGGCAGCTAATAAACATCCCAGCCTAAAATAAACTCAGTGTTAAATTCCTCTGTTTAGTTCTTCAAATCAAATCTCATGTCTTTTCTTTATGAAACTTCTCAAGCCTTCTTTAGACATCACTCCTTTGAAATTCAGTTTTGTCTCTTACATTATTGGCAATTAATCACATTTTCACTTTTCTTTTTAAATAGTACTTAGTTTTTGAACCATTAGTTCCTTTAGTATTTATATTTATCTCTTTAAATATACCAAGCATTCTGGACCTGGACCTTATTAAGCCTTGTATATAATAAAATTTAATAAGAGTTTATTCACTTTTGAAATAATGGAATACCAAAAAAAAAAAAAAAGTCTAATTTGAATTTTCCCCTGTAAAGTTTTCTTCTTTGTTAGATGGTTCTTCTCAATGGAATGGGGCTTTGAGGGATGAATTCAATTCTCAAACAAAACATGCCCTTGATGTACTATGAATTGAAATGCATTCTGCTGTTGTATATAACAAATTAGAACAAAAAAATTAATTTAAAGAAATACTAAAAATACCACCCCCTTTAGAATTGCATTTTCTTGAGGGCCCTTACTGCCATTTATCCTGTTCGAATAGCAAATTGTTGATGAGGGCTTCTCTTATTGAAGGGAGTGTGATGCACATGAGAAATTCAGAAGTGAAGGTAGGATTTTATATGGATAATGGGATATGGTCAGTGCACTTATGTATTGTGTTTGACTTCTTTATTTTATCTGTAGGGTAAAGTTTATGGGCAGTTCAGATAAGTGTCAGGCTGGTCACTTGCTTTTTTGGGTACCATTAAAGGAACAATATAAGAAAAAAGTAGTTTTAAAAGGAGCCATTTCTAGCAACATTATTTAAAATAAGTCTTTGTCTCTAAAAGGAATAAATAATAAACTAGGTAGAAAATTTGGCTATTTGAAATAATCTTAAAAAAATCCCACCATCAGTAGCAGAGATTAGTGTAAATACAGTGGAAATATTCAAAGGTGGCATGTTGGAGTTACCAAATCAGCAGTTGAGGGCAATTAAAACTGTGTTTAACTATACTTTAAAGTGCTTAATAGAATTTCCAACATGATATTGAAGAGTCAGTAGGAATTATCACTTTGTTTTGAGTACTGTTTTTAATAGTATGATGACATTTAAAAGAAATTGGTTGTTTGGGAGAAAAGGTAAAATTATGGAGTAACAAATATATACAACTCTAAAGATGGCTATAGATTTAAAATAGTAATTTCTAAAAATATTTTTCAAAGTTCATGAATAACACATATCAGGTTACTCATGGATATTAGGAATATTTACATTCATTCAGGTATTGAATAGTGTTCTAGATGCTTTTATAGAACCTCATAGAAATTCTCTTTCAGGAAGTTTCTTCAAGCAATCACTATGTCAACCAACACAGATGTTTCTCTTTCTTCATATGATGAAGATCAGGGATCTAAATTTATCCGAAAAGCTAAAGAAGCACCATTTGTGCCTATTGGTAAGTTGGACTTCGATATTCTAATACTCAGTCTGCTATAAGCTTAAAACAATGAAAGCATGATAAGCTTATTCATTGAGCACATCCTAAAATAATTTATTTTCAAGTATTTTTTATTATGTTATTGAAATATGCCGAATACAAAATTCTTCTGTGTGTATTCAGACATCTTATCTTATTGACTCATATATCAGTGAGGAGTTGAGGAATCCCAAGTCTACCTTCAATCTCAATGACTTAGCAAGACTCAAAAGATTCAAAAAAGCATTAGAGTCATGGTTATGGTTTATTATAGCAGAAGGTTATAGGTTAAAGTCAACAAAGGCATGTGAGATAAAGTCCAGGAGAAACCAAGCATAATGTTCCAGGTATCCCCTCCCAGTGGAGTCACACAGTGACATTTAATTCTTCTGGCAATGACATGTGGCAACATATGCAAAGTACTGCCATCCAGGGGAGTTTACCAAGCCTTGGTGTTCAGGTTTTACTGGGGGTGAGTCACATAGGCATGCAGTCCCTTGGAAGACATAAAATACAAAACTACGTGATCATCTCAATTGAAATCTTAAAATCGGTGTATTAGAATCAAGTTTATTCCAGAAATCAAAAAGAAATACAAATTATACTTTTAGAGTTGAAACATTAAAAACATACCCTTTAAAGTCAGAAATAAGACAGGAATATATGTGAACACTATTATTGTTGTTTGAAGTTGTATAAGTACATGAAAAAAGCTGTACATACTTTAGGAAGTGGGGTGTGTGTGTGTGTATTTTTCCTATACAGATAGTTACATATAGTTTTATATGTATAACTATCTGTACAGGAAATCTAAGAAAATAAGTGAAGAACAACTGAAATCAATTTCATGAATGCCTCACAAAATATCTAGGAATATTTAAGGCTTACCTAGAGAAATTAAAACTACAAAATTGTATTTAAGGACACAAAAGGTTTGAATGGAAATTGATAAATGTACCACATTCTAAGATCTCCATTCTCCTTAAATCCTTTCTCATTTCTAATGGTGTCTTTTGATTTTCTTTGTCTTTGGTTAGTCTTCCTAGAGCTTGTACTCTTGATCCTTTTCAGTGCTAATGTAATTGCTTGAATTTCCTAATCTCTCAGGTTTTATTTTAACCTCCACACTCAAGTAGAAGTACTTAACTTCTCAGTGGTTAGTGGTGTGTATATATGGCTATTTTGATAGCTAAATTTTGATTTTGTGTTTACAATCTTGGAATACAGCCTTTCTGGAATTTGAAAGTTTCTTTGTAGCCTAATACATGTTCTCATTTTGCCAAAGCTTCATAGACATTTGAAAGAATAGGTGATCTCTATGTTTTAAATTAAAATATTGAATTTTATTTATTTTAAAATATTATAATTTAGTAAAGTTATAATGACACCATTTAATTTGGTCATTTTCTAAAAGAAACATTATTTTTCCCATTTTTGTCATCTTCAAGTATGATATGCCTTATGTTGCTAACAATTTTTGGCTTCATTTATTTTGTTGCTATGTTGATTAGATTATTTAAAGTCTATGACTATTATAAACTAACCTTTTATTATAAAATGCCTGCATGTATTACATAATCAGTGCTTTTTAACCTAGAATTCTACTTTGATATTAGTATTGACACCCCTGCTTTCTTTTTGTTTGCATTGCCTAGTCTTATCTAGGCAAATTCTTTTATTTTTAACTCTTTAGTGTAAATTAGTTATGTCTCCTGGAAGAATATGTCCAGGTTTTGTTTTTTTAACCTAGAAGAGGACATTAACCTATGTTGATATTATTGTAATAAGTTCTCTTAGTTTTGTTTCTACTATATACTTTATTTTCTGTTTGTTGTGCTTATTGTTTCGTTTGTTCTTTTATTTATTTATTTTTTTAATGATTTGGAAGTTCAGCTATTCCTATACTACTGGTAGTTAGTTTTACAATTTTAATTGGGGTGTATTTTTTCACTTACTTCAAAAGTAAAAATGAACGTAAATCATTCCCTAACTCAAGACTTTCAACACACATATTTTTTGTTATAATAATTATAACTTTAATTTCAGATTATTAATTTTTACTATTAATTTCCTCCATCACACCCAGGTATTTTTCATAGGATTTACTAACTCTATTGCTTTCCACCATATCTCACACTCTGTTTATTTCTTTCTCACTTATTAATTTCTTGAACTGTCTTTTTTTTTTATTTCCTCAAGGTTTTATATAAGTACATGGGTGATTACACTTTGAAAACATCCAAGATCATGTCATTCCTGAATTTTTTTTGTCTTCTAAATGATTGAGAGCTTGGCCTTGCATAGAATGTTAGGGTCATTATCCATTTAATTCAAACTCTTAGTATTGTTCTATTGCTTTGTCTATGCAGTGCTATACTTTCCAGTATAGTATCTCAGATTTTGAAGTATATAGGCAAGATCTCTCAGTGCTGGTAAAGTATAGATTGTCTCTGTGATATTAAGTTATTGCCTTTAGGAAGAGCAGTAGGACAGGAAGGAAGAGTTATAAACTCATTCCATAACATATAAGACATTGAGCATATTTGTTGTGTTTTAATAATCATTAGCTTAATTCCTATTATTCCCTGATACACCTTTAAAAGGACTTTATTTAGTGGCTCCACAAACCACATTATAAAAAAATAACCCTGACTTTCTGAATTTGCTAATGTTTGCTATCAATTATAGATTTTTGGGTTCTAGGGGGAAATTTTTTTTAAACTGTTATTTGTGTTCAGCTAATTAATGATCTGATAAATTATCTTATAGAAATAATAGAAAAGACATTGATTAATGTTAAAATCCTCTTGGTCCCCTTCCTCTATGCATCTAACATATTTACAACTATTTGTTTTACAGGAATGGCAGGTTTTGCAGCAATTGTTGCATATGGATTATACAAATTAAAGAACAGGGGAAATACTAAAATGTCCATTCACCTGATTCACATGCGTGTGGCAGCCCAAGGCTTTGTTGTAGGAGCGATGACTCTGGGTAGGTTTCTAAAGGAAATTTCAAATTGGTGGTTTCCCATTAATGTATTTCTCTAAAAACAAAACAAGAGAGGAACTTTTAGCAGACCTTGAAGCAGTTTGAAAATACAAGTCATTTTCACCTAAAAATTGAATTAATAAAAATAATTAAAGTGTGATACAGTTTTACTGTCTATGATATATCCTATTAAGGTTTTAAAGAAAGATTTAGGTTTTAAAGTCTATCACTGAATTTATAATTTCATTGAAGAATCTAGACATGCAAATAGGGTTGGTAGTAACATCAGTTTTCTGAGAAAGACCTGATTGCTATTTTACTGAGTTTTTAAAGATGAAAAAGATTTTTAAAATGGTTTTTTTTTTTAAATTTTTTATACCTTTATTTGTTTATTTTTATGTGGTGCTGAGGATTGAACCCAGGGCCTCGCATGTGCTAGGTGAACGCTCTACCGCTGAGCCACAACCCCAGCCCTTTTTTTTTTTTTTTTTTTGAGAGAGAAATTTTTAATATTTATTTTTTAGTTCTCGGCGGACACAACATCTTTGTTTGTATGTGGTGCTGAGGATCGAACCCGGGCCGCACGCATGCCAGGCGAGCGCGCTACCGCTTGAGCCACATCCCCAGCCCCAACCCCAGCCCTTTAAAATGTTTTTATATATATGCTTTGGTTGGCATTATAATTTTTTTTCTGGCAGGGAGGCTACTGAGGATTGAACTCATGGGCACTTAACCACTGAGCCATATCCCTAGCCCTATTTTGTATTTTTGTTGAGAGACAGGATGTCACTGAGTGCCTTGCTTTTGCTGAGTGTGTCTTTGAACTCATAATCCTCCTGCCTCAGCCTCCCAAGCCACTGGGATTACAGGTGTGGGCCACTATGCCTGGCTATAATTTATTGACTATCTGGTGTTATGGCAACATTGTGACTCCTTTTAAAAATGCTAGATCAATATTCGTTGATCTTTAAAACAAATATTGTAACATTGTGATATATTCATACTAGCCTTGAGAAATTATATATAAAAAGAGTTTTAGAAATTTAAATTGTTTAGGAAAATAGGATCTTATTCCTCTTGTAAATATTCTGTACTAGTAAGGGTACTATTTTTAGCTATTTTGTGAATGTTTTGTATTTTCTTACTATTGAAGAGAATATTTTAATACTTAACTAGCATTCTTTTTCTCTAGGTATGGGCTATTCCCTGTATAAGGAATTCTGGGCAAAACCTAAACCTTAGAAGAAGAGATGCTGTCTTGGTCTTGTTGGAAGTGCTTGTTTTTGTTATGTTAAAGTTATATGTTTATGTCAAAAAATAAATCCCTTGAGTGGGTTCAGGCTGTAACACGGTATTTTGAATAATGGCTTCTTTTCTTGCCCACTTGATTTGCCTGGTTATCAAATTATTAATGACTTCATTGACTGGATCATTCAGGGAAGTCAAGTTAACACAAAAGAAACATATACTGGATAGTGTTACAACACTCACCTTCTTAAATGCTTATGACAGAAATTACTTCTAAAGAAGACAAAAGGCCAGGCCTGAATTACTCCCAGTTTACTACAGAATATCATACACATATTTTGAATGTTGGGTGGGAATCCTACTTAACCCAGTTAATTTAACTTTTTTCTACCTGCCTTGTGAACTGGTTTAAGAACTTCAGTCTTTTAGTGTTAGTTGGCTCTTAAAGAACTATTTCACATTTCACAAACGTGCATGAAATATAACTTGTAAATCTTCCCACAACTGAGAGAGAGAGAGGAAGGGAGGGAGAGTGTGTGTGTGTTTAATCCATACCTGGAAAGCTCACAACAGAACTGCATAGAAGTAGTATTTATTTCAGAATCACACTTATAAACATAATAATTTAATTATTGGTTCCACTTTAGCTCTTTTATAATTGCAGAATTATATTTTTGCTGTTGTATTAGAATAATTTTTAAATGTTATCTTGAAAGAGAAATATGTATTTTAAGTGCTAATACAAAGGTAAATTAAGAACACGGTTTTAATGTGTGCAGTATAATTATTTTCTCTGTATGAATTGCAAGTGTTAAACAAATTACCTAAAATGGAAGTGATTGCTGGTTTTGAGCAAGCTGGTCTGGTCAGACATTATACACAAGCTTTGGTAAACTATAGCGTGTTTTAGTATACTTGTAAAATTCCCTTGTCTAACCTGAACTTACATTCCATGGTGATAACATGGTATATGTGTGGTTATTAAAATAACGAACACATCAAATGTCTTGTATCTGTTTGTTTGGAAAAATAACTCATTCTTCAGAGTAGCACAAAAATTAGGTTCCAAAAAAAAACAATGTTTTATGCTTTTTGTAGGAACCACCATTTAAGAATACCTATAAAGTGGAAATAATAAATAATATATATTGCGTATTTACTGTGTCGCACATGCTCTAAGAACTTTTTATATGTGTCACTAAAGCTTCCTAACAACCCTAAGAGGTAGGAACTATTATTCTTGTTTCACAGTGAGAAGACTGAGGCAAGGATAGCAGAAGCAACTTGCCCAAGGTCATGTAGCTAGAGAAGGTTTTAAGTGTGGGACTAGAACCTGAGCAGCCTTGCTGAACAGCCAGTATTCCACTATATTATGCTGTCCCTAGAACTGAGCAAATGGTTATTTGTGTGTGTGTGTGTGTCTTTTGATTGGATGGATTGACTTTTTCCGTAAGAAGAGTAACAATCTACTATTTTGGAACTTTTTTTTTTTTTTTTTTTAGAAAATCCCAGGATGGTAAGTAATATGGTTCATACCAACTGGTTTTAGGTACTTGAGATGTTGGCCGATGTAAGATTAATGCTGGAATTACCTGGACTAAATCAGAGTTTTCTAGTCTTTTCTTACCCATGAAATGAGAGCTTAGACTAGAGAACTTCTGTGGTCCTGTCTAGCTGATAGGTCATTATGAGCTCTAATTAGAAACTATTTTTTTCAGCTTTGGATAGATAACAAGGTGCTCGTAGGCAATCTTAGCAATTGTTTTGTGAAAGATAAACTTTTTATAAAGGAACAAATTTGGGAATAAGTTTCAGAAATTTGTCCTCCCCCTTTTTTTGTACCTTACTTTAATTATATTTTGCTATTTAGGTGAATTTTAAGGTATTTTAATATATGATATGCTTTCTTTGTGGGTAGTTTTTGTTCTGGCAGTTGTAACATTCTTTGCAGCCACTAATAATTTCATATGAGCAATTTCTTTTATTTTTTTAGTGTTTTTGCTACTATGGATTGAACCCAAGGATTTTTACCACTGAGCAATAACTCCAGTTCTTTTTATTTTTTGTTTTAAGACAGGATCTCACTAAATTGCCAAGGGTGGCTGGCCTCAAACTTAAAACTCTCATGCCTTCGCCTCCTGGGTCACAGTGATTACAGGCACACATCCCTGTGCAGCCATACGAACCATATTTAAAACTAGTGTAGTCTCCCCTCCACCTCTAATACTAGCCAATATTATCTTTCCTAAGAGTTTTCTCTTGTACTGTTTTAAATATGCTTATACTTCTATTTGATGTGTCAGTTCAGCTTTTAACTGATAGGCCTTGATTGCCAACCATTAGAGATTACATGACCAGAGAACTTATTCTATATCCCATGCCTTCTTTCTCCTTACCTTCGAGAGTTTTATTAGTTGTTTCATTTCTACATTGTGGGAATATATAATGTTTACGTTCTGTTCTGCCATTTGCACACTTCTTTCTCTCTGGTTCTACAATTTAAACATTGAAAACAGACAAACATTCTCAGTAATCTCTTGGTTGGCAGAAATTAATGATAGTTTTTTAATAGTTTCCTCAAGAAAGACATATGGAAAAATTCCTCTGAATTTTTGCATGTTTGAATATTTTTATCTGTAACCTTTACACAGTAAAAAGCAATTTAGATATAAAATTCTTAGTTTACATTTTTCTTGGGAATATTGTAAATATTGACATAGAGAAGCCTAAGTCTTGTGAAATTTCCCCTAAATAAGGAATTTTCTTTTTTTGCTTGTCTGCTCAAATTCTTTAGTAAGTTCAAAACTTCAATTATACTAGTCTTGGTGTTGATCTTTCTATGTTCAGTTATACTAGTCTTGGTGTTTATCTTTCTATGTTCTCTATGTTTTCAGAAAATTGTCATTTTACTAGATAGGTACCCTATTGATTTTGTTTAATTATTAACTGAGAATCATTTTTCTAGACAAATGGCAGAGGGTTGTGATAGAATAAAGGTGAAGTGTTGAGATGATAATGAGCATTATATGATCAAGAGAAAATAAGTGGGAGTGCTTTCCTGAAGGAGGGAATGGTAAATAAGTTGGATGAATAGGGTGGAAGTTCTTAGAAGTGGCTCAAGTGGCTGTGATACTGTGTTTTATTGAATGGGATCCTGATTCCGCCACTTCTAACTAAACAGCCATGGTTTTCTCATCTATAAAATGAGGACAAGATAGCAGTAGTAAGTGTAAAGGGCTCAACATGGCATGTGATACATTCTCAATTGGTGGTTGCTGTTGCCATTATTACTGGGTTAGGTATAGGAATGCAGCAGCACAGGAGAAATGGGCCCTGCCCTCTCCACATACAAAGTCTAGGAGGGGAGGCTGGTTTAAATAAGTTATTACATGATGACTACTAGGTATGGGATGCAATGCAGACATCTGGTTGAAGGACTTATCCCAGGGTTGGGGTTGGAAGAGGTCTCCTCAAGAAAGCAATATTCTACTTTAAGGACATGGTATGTTGATTTTCATTGAAATTAGATTTCTTGGCTTAATGTTGGATGTTGAAGCATGGGTGTATCCAGTATATTTTTGTTGAATTATTTAGAGAAGGTTTTGGGTTTTTTACATTCACAGTCCTGCCACCCCTAGAAAAAAGTTAAGAGTTGACCCTCCATATCTGCAAGTTCTACATCCATGAATTCAACTTTGGATTAGAAATGTTCAGGGAAAAAAAATGTGTATTTACTGAACATGTACAGATTCTGTTTTCTTGTCAATAAACAAAGCAATTTAACAACTGTTTATGTGTATATATATATATATAGAGAGAGAGAGAGAGAGAGAGAGAGAGAGAGAGTTATGTATTATAATTAGAGACAACTTATTCGAGTATTTACATAAATTACATGCAAATACTATGCGATTTTTTATAAGAGCCTTGACAATCCAAGAATATTGATATTCACAAGGGGTCCTGGGACCTATCTGCTGAAGTTACCCAGAGATGACTATACCTATTTCTAATTTCTGAGCAACAGCGACCTCTAGTGGTTAGAGTTGGAATTTGAGTCCACAGTTGAGTCCCTAAGCATAGTTTTCCTTAACACAAAGCCAGAATTTTGGAGTGGTCCAAGCTCCACCGTGAGAGGATTGGTTCATGTAGGTCTTGCCTCTTATCTCACAGATGAGCCTGCTGCTCATATAGTTTGAGGAAGTTGAATTTAGATTTCATCCCCATGTAAATCTATAGCCCTAGCTACATCATAGCTACTAGGCCAAAACCATGCTGATCTAAAGTTATCCAATAGTGGGATTGTCAATAACTTTATATGCTTTTCCTGTTTGAAAGCCCTTCAAATTTCAAAAGGTAAACTGAATGTGTGGCAGCCTTGACTGGATTGCTATTTTCCCAGTAAATGCTTTAACCTGGGATCAGTGTAGGGGAAGAACCAGCCCTGTACATGCAGCTGTTTCCTTCTTAAATAAAGAGAGACTGTATAAATGATGGATTCAGGTTCTGAAATTAAGTTTTTTATTTGCAGTCCCCCCCCCAAAAAAAAGAGACTTTTAACCCTTAAACACTAAGGAGAGAAGAAAGAATTTGTTTTTAGCAATAACAAAGTGAGGCAAATTTCTTCTAAATTCAGCAGTGATAGATGGGTCTAGAATAGAGGTCAGCATGTGGTTATCCCCCTTGGAGGAACCCAGGATCAAGTCCTCTCTGTGAGTTTTCATAACATTGATGATTTTTTCCCTTGGTGAAACTGAATGAGTAAATTTTTGCCATCACGCCTTTCAATGATGTTTAATCTCACCTCATCTCATACCATATTTGCTGTCTTCCCTGTTGGCGGCCCTTCCTAGGTCACTCATCCTGTCAGCAATACCTCCCTTGCTCACTGTCATCTCCTGGGCATCTTTCCTTCTTCCTATTCTTTTATCATTAAACCAATCACCAAGTCCTATCCGTTTTTCATTAGCAGAATCTCTCTCATCATTCAGTTTTGTCCTTTTTCCTCTCCCTGTTGCCATCACTAGGCCCTTCACCTGTTTTTTGCCACCTAATGCTAGTCAATATTGTTTCAGCCTTTCTAAGAAGGAGGTTGAGGAGGTCTCACCTACATATACTCTTTACTATGGAGATGG